TCAGACTTAACATGGGGTGGGGGGGGGGTGGGCAGGTTTCTGCAGTTCTGTAAAAGCAACTTGCATGAACATACTATATTAAGCCCTGCAGTAAAGTACGAACCAGTACCACATCTGCATTCAAAGGGAATATCATGTACAAGAACACTATTTGCATAATGAATTCGGGAACGACTGTCTAATGAAATATCATTCTAACAAATAACTCTACGGGTGACTCTACGGCCTGTTTGAGTTTCTAATACAGCTCTCCCTAAATTCAGTGTTAAAGGGATATTTCACTGTTGCTGGCAATCTGTTATTCAATGGATGAAAAGGATCCTATGGTATTAAATTAAAGAATAGAGTGCAATCCCACTTTTCTTGGCATCATTCCTCCAAGCAAATGTTTCAGACAGATTGCATAACCTTATTCAAATTCCTGGGCTCAATATCTCTAACTCTAAATAATGATGTCTATGATGCAAAAGGATTTGGCTCCTTATATTTTTGTATGTTACCAATGAAATTCTGTATGATAATTAAGTTGGAAGGCATTAAAGTATATTATGGGGTACCTTGCCTACTAATTTTGTTTTCTTCCCTGTGGGGAATCACATAGGTTTCACTAAGTCCAAATGACTGGGTATGAATATTTATTGTCTAACCTCTGCATTAACTGCCTATGGCACTTAAATTTGGATTTAAGCTACAAACAGCACTTTCAGTCAAAAGCACTAGTGACGCAAACTGTAAAAATCAAATGCGGTCTCTGTGCCCATATGGAAAATAATAATAATCCTTGCATTGTGTGGCAGTCAGCAGCTGGAGAATTTGGATTCTACTTGTTAATACCATAGAAAACACGTTTTGAATCATGTAAGCTAATTAATGGCTAGGTTTTTGACTGTTTAATAATCACTCTGGCAAAAAGCCAACGTCCTGGAAGAATATTCAATAATTTCATGCTGCAGTTGCACAAACACTGCCCGTGTTTCATGCCACAATCTACCTGATGCATATACTGAGACCAGAATAAACTCTCTAAATTAACCTTTAATGTGGGACGTGCTTCTGATAATCCTGTGAAGATCAAGAATTTATGATGTTGTGATTTGTATCTTACCATTCCTGTGACCATTCCTGCTGGTGGGCTGCTATCCCACCAGCCCAATTGTTACCCAGGCTCGTTTTTGTTTTTGGTCAGCTCGGTGTGTGACACAAGCCCATAATGCTTAAGTGTATCCAAACCGGACAGTTTCACATATATACAACACCTACACTTGGAATGGAATGCACATTGTCTTCCTGAGGGGAGACACTCTATTTATCTAATTCCAGAGAGTATTAGGTGCAGGTTGGCAAGAGCCAAGGTTTAAGGATCCCAGATTATGCGTTGGGGTACTGCTGGATTTCAAGTAGCTACAATCGCATAGCTTGCCAATAAGACCACTGTCTTATTATCCAGTCAGGACCACCATAATCGATTAGAGCTTTGGCTTTCAGGGCTAACACGAAGAAGTGGGAAGAATCCCAGCTCCCAGTGATTGGTGTGCCACTTTGCCCCTGCCAATAAACCACACTGGTTTGCCTGTCATCAACACTACCCTGGGATTCTGCAGACGTGCCTGGGCTACAGAGTATTGATTTGCATTCTATTGCCAAGCAAATCACCTTGGGAGCCAGCTCTGCTCCAGATATACCCTGCTTATCTTCCCAAGCAGCAATATGAGAAGCAAAACAGTAATATAACACATTTAACGTTTAATAGATGTTGGAAAGATACAATTTTGCATATCACCAGCAATGAGAACTAGTTTACAATTGCCTCATCTACAGAAGAGAGATTTTACTTTATCCTTGTTCGTGCTGATGATCTTTGTCCAGTAAGTCCTCCTGGAAAGATGAAGAAATTAAGTGTATGTTAAGGACATCAGAAAACTAACATTTCTCACGGTCTTAACCTGGCCTTATGTTTCTTGGAAGAACACACGAAACATATTGTGAAAATAATAATGATAATCCTTGCATTTAATATAGCACCTTACACTCCAAAGAGTGCTGTTTCGCCAAAAAGATATTTTAAAAATTGAAACACAGGACTGACTCACTTTGAAGGACAAGCCACATCAGTAGTCTCACCCCTAAAGTAAGGACCATAAAACTGTTAATTTTCAACAATAGAATGGATCTAGTATCGTAAAATACTCCCGCTGAATGTTGTAGGAGTCAAGTGAGTGATCTTCTCCAACTCATCCACCATCAGGCTGTTGTGGGTCATTAACTTTTGTATTCAGCTAAGTGTTAGACTCGGAAGTAACTACCCCCTTACCTTTGAGGAGCTCATTGGAGCAAACCACCTGCACATCTGTGATGTGGTGTTTGGAAACCTTGGAAAATGGTGTGGGTGTTTTTTAAGTCACTGCGTGCTTCCATCTAAAATTTAGCAACATTAATCCATCCTACGTCTTTCCTGTACCATTCATTTAATTTAATCAAGCAGATGGTCAGGAGACTTTTGTGAACCCGGCTCTATAATTGACAATAAAAGAGAGTATGGCTTGGAACTGCTCTATCCAATATTCTATCCAATACTTGGCTTCCTTTAATTACCCTTAAAGGATTTTATTTTTTCCTTTTAAACAAAGTGGGCTTTGGGCGATCAGTTTAACTTAAAAAAAGAAAATTCACATGCTGAAAATATTCTGCTATGTGGCCTTTCGGTCAAGTCAGTCAAACATGTTGAAAAAGATTAAACGTCTATTGCGCGCATCTGGGTACTGCAATAGTTCAATCTTCAAAGTATGCAACACTATGTGGAATAAATCCAGACATCTGTGTCGCAACAAAACGTAAACTTGTAAATGACTACACATTAATATCATACCTGCTCGACTGTAAACCCGACTTAATGTTCAAGACATTTATATTTACATGAAAGGTGCTCTACGCAGGCAAATTTTATTTGAAATAAAAAACCATTCAGATGCCATTCTCAAGCAGATATCTCTCAATTTTTTCTCAAGAGAATCAAACGACATAAGTACCAGCTGTGTTTAGGCAGGACGTCATCCACCTATGAACTATTGTGCAAGTGTGAGCGAGAGATAAAATCTAATCTCTTTGCTTTTAGCGTTGTTCAAAGCCTACAAAGCCATTTGTTGTGGCAGCCACATTCAGAAGGAATGCAAATCGGTTTAAAAGTACCGGATGTTGTTGCGCTCTGAGAGACGCAACAACACCTGCAAATATGTCCTGATCGCTTCATCTTTTTATCGCTGTGCTTTTTTTTTTAAAAAAAACGGTGGGTGGGAGTCCTGCGGCGTATCGGTCGGCGAGAGAGAGAGAGAGAGAGAGAGAGAGCGTGCGCGCGCGCCTCGGGAGCGAGAGGAACCGGGTTCGATTCCCGGCCAGGGCGAGCGAGCCTCCCTCGCTCCAGAGGTCGCTTGCTCGCCTGGCAACACGTCGGGTTGTTAAGTCGATTGCTTTCCGGGAGTTCATACTCCCCGCCTCGCCTCCCCCCACCGCGTAAAAAAAAAAAAAAAAAATTGAGCCGCTCGAACCACGACTGCTTGCGGGGACGGACGCCCCCGCCCGCAATTAATCCCGATTCGGAGTCCTGTAGCTCAGTGGTTAGAGCACTCGCTTTGCGAGTGAGAGACCTGAGTTCAATCCCAGGCAGAGGGCCAAACCTTGGGCAAGTTTCCTTACTCCACACAGAGCCTAATAATAATCCCTCCAAAACCAAAAACAATAATAAATTGGTCATTTTCAATCCACGACTGTTTGTGGGACATTGCTGTGCGCCATTGGCCGCCGCGTTCGCCCACAAATATACAGTCAATTCCCTTTACAGTGTGTTCTGTGAAGCGCTTCGGGACGTCCTCCTGACGTGAAAAGCGCTATATCAAATGCGAGGATTATTATTATTATTATTATTATAATGAATGAAGCGCTGGGAGGATCGCGGCGGCGCGTCGAGACCCCGGGAGACATTTTTCAAAAGGATCCCTCGAGGGCCGCGACGCCTCGAGAGCCGAGGGTTCGAGCCGCGCCGGCGTGATCGGGCGCTGTATCGAACGGAAGGGTTTGTTATTTTACAATAATAATCATTATTTTTTATTTTAATAACCACTATTATTAATAATTTTTTTTTCTTCTTCTTCTTCCACGGCGCGCGCGCACACACACACAAAAAAAAAACCAAACCCACACCACCCGTTGCGTTTCTATTAATAATTATAATAATTATTATTGTATTTTAATAATATTAATTATTAATAATAATTATTATTATTTTTCTTCTTCCACGACCCCCGTTGCGTTTCGCTTCGCGTGGGGGTGAGGGGAGGGGGGGAATCGTACCTTAGGTGTCGAATGGAAGACCCAACACGACACGTAGACCAGACAGACAGACACACACACAGACAGACAGACACACAGACACACAGACAGACAGACCCTGCGGCCTTGACGAGAAGCTGACGCGTCTACCGCACACCGTCGAGTCGAGTCGAGTCGCGCGCCCCTCCCTCCCGCCCTCCTCGGAGAGCGCGGCCGTTGAAATTCGAACTCGAGCGCCCAACGGCCGCGGCCGGCTCGAGCGGCGACTGGCGTCACGTCACGTTACGTTGCGTCGCGTTGCGTCACACGCACACGCCCCCCCGCCCCCCACCCCTCCACTCACTCACTCTCCTCGAGAGGCGCAGCGCGACGCGGCGCGTGACGTCGCGTCGCGTCGCGCACGTCGCGTGGCGTGGCGTCGCGTCAAGCACGTCGCCTCCCCCCACCACCCACACACCGGCACGAGCCCCCGACGCAGAAAGAGCATTGCTCAATGGTGGAGCACGTCGTGTCCCACTCTCCGCCCTCCCTCCTCCTCCCTTCCCCGGGGAGCGTCGCCGCTGGTAACCCACCGTCTCCGAGTCACTGACAGACAGACAGACAGAGAGAGAGAGAGAGCCCGAAAGCCTTGTTTAGAAGACACGCGACACGTACATACGTACACAGACAGTGAAGCTGAGGGAGAGAGAGAGGGAGAGAGGGAGGGAGGGAGGCGGCCGTCTGCTCAGCCCTCAACAGTGCCCACGTAGGTAAGTGAGTGAAGGACTTGCCCGGTTGTGCTTTTAACCTCACGCTCTTTTAATGGTGTGTTTTTTTTGAGGAGGGGGTCATACTGTACACGAACGAGGAGGGTTCTGTCCGACGGGCCGTTTTGTCTGTGTGTGTGTGTGTGTGTGTGTGTGTGTGACTGGAATTGATCATTATTTGGCCCCACCACCCGCACCCGCACCACCCGCACCGACACCCACACCCACTCGGGTGGTGCGTGGGACGAGCGTTTGTTTCGAGGCTCTGGTTCTGGTGGTGGAGATCACCGGCTCTTTTTTGTTGTTGTTGTTGTTGTTGTTGTTGACGCCCACACTCTCTGTGCCACATTAACAGATTCGATCCTGGTCCTGGATTTGGGGAGTGGGGGGGGGAGTGGGGGGGTGGGGAGTGGGGCTGGTGGGGGGGGTGAGCGAGAGAGGGGACCCAACCCGGGTAAGGTTTAAGGGGGGTGGGGTGGGGGGGGGGTGGGGGGGAAGGTTGGTGAAGCCTCCAACTGCGAATGAGGCCTATCGGTTTTGTTGACTCGAAATGAGACGTGTGTGTGTGTTTCTGACTGACTTTAATTGTGTGTGTGTGTGTGTGTGGTGTTATTTATATGTATATATATATATATGTAATAAAAAGTCTTAGTATTTAATTTAGGGTATTTTGTTTCTGTCTGTGAGTTGACGGGGGGCTGTGCTGTCGATGAGGGGAGGGGAGAGGGGGAGAGAGAGAGGGGAGGGAGGCAACAGCTATCCAGACAGTGCTGTTTTTTTATATTTAAAAAAAAAGGGGGGCTTTTTTTTGGGGGGGGGTTTCTTCACGAAGTTATCGGGCTTTTAACTTCACAAGTCGGTGGCGGGTGGAAGCGGGGGCTGCTGTGGGGTTGGCGAGACGTCTGAGACCTCCGTGGGTGGGGGGGTTGGGTGGGGGGTTGGACTCGAAACTCTCACACAGTCACACAGTCACATTCCGACATGTGCAGAGATTAATAGTGTCGTTGTGGTGCGGAATCTATTGACAGTGTTTATAATTGAGAGTCGGGTGATGTCATTGGGTTTACTGATTGATTGGTACAAATGTACAGCGTTTTCTTTCGGCTGCTGTCGTGTTGTACCTCTAGGGGAGCATTTAACTTTTTTGTTTATTCCTTCTCCCCCCCCCTCTTCCCTTCTCCCCCCCCTCCCCCTCTTCCCCTTCCCCCCCCCCCCCCCCCCCTCTTCCCCTTCTCCCCCCTCCCCTCCTCCCCCCCTCTTCCCTTCTCCCCCCCCCCTCCCCCCTCCCCCCCTCTTCCCCTTCTCCCCCCCCCTCCCCTTCTCCCCCCCCCCTCCCCTCTCCCCCCTCCCCCCCCCCCCTCCCCTTCTCCCCCCCTCCCCTTCTCCCCCCCTCCCCTTCTCCCCCCTCCCCTTCTCCCCCCCTCCCCCCTCCCCCCCCTCTTCCCCTTCTCCCCCCCCTCCCCTTCTCCCCCCCCTTCCCCTTCTCCCCCCCCTCTTCCCCTTCTCCCCCTCCCCCCCTCTTCCCCTCTCCCCCTCCCCCCCCTCTTCCCCTTCTCCCCCCCCTCCCCTTCTCCCCCCCTTCCCTTCTCCCCCCTCCCCCTCTTCCCCTTCTCCCCCCCTCTTCCCCTTCTCCCCCCCTCCCCTTCTCCCCCCTCTTCCCCTTCTCCCCCTCTTCCCCTTCTCCCCCCTCTTCCCCTTCTCCCCCCTCTTCCCCTTCTCCCCCTCTTCCCCTTCTCCCCCCTCCCCCCCTCTTCCCCTTCTCCCCCCCCTCCCCTTCTCCCCCCCCCCCTCTTCCCCTTCTCTCCCCCCCTCCCCTTCTCCCCCCTCTTCCCCTTCTCCCCCCCTCTTCCCCTTCTCCCCCCCCCCCCCCCCACCCTCTTCCCCTCTTATTTTGGCTCATTGAATCCAATATGTCACTCCAGTAAAACCATTCAGGGACCATCCGAATGAATGCATTCGTTCATCACTAGAATCCCAGCTCTATTCACATCATTTGCCCAAACTTGTGCATTTTAAATCTCATCATTTTAGCAATTTTTAAGATGAGATGAAAATCTTTGGATGCTGTATAGTTTTTTTTTTGGGGGGGGGCGGGGAATTGCGTCGACACCTGTGGTCCATTGGTTATGCTGAGCTCTGTGATTTGTCAGAGAATCTTTCTATACAGCAGTGGTGTGGAAAAAATTTGATCCAATTTGTCAACCTGTGTTTGAGGATCTCAGATTGGAAAAGAAAATTGAGCCATTGCTGAAAGAACATTGATTCATATCTTCTAGTGAGCACTTTAAGCCCTTCATTGGTAAACCGATTTATGATTTGGCCAAACTGCATTCAGAAGTGCTCTATAATGTTTAATCAAATGCTTAACAAAATGTACAATATGTCTTTTTTGCCCAGCGGTGGTTTCACCAGGATTCAAGAGAACTAGGAAAAGCAGCGGTCCATAAAGATGCCTTCTGGCTCTTTCCTCATTATTTCATAGCCCATATTGTTCCCACTTTCAAAATGTCTAACTTGCCAGTGGGAACTGGCATTGTAGGTTCATCCACTTATAATGTAAATTGGTAATACAGTATATTCTGTGAAGCGCTATGAGACATCTCAAAGACGTGATAAGGCGGCATAATCAAATGCAAGGATTATTATTATTTTCTTTGCTGATGTCAGAATTGCAAATATAATTCCTGGTTGTAATTTTCCAACTATTTGGGGTTATTTCCATTAATGGAGTGACCGGATTGAAGTGACCCCCTCCAATGCCACATTGGTTTACTTTAGTAACTCAGCACACACCAGAGAATGTCAATTGTTAAGGCAGTATCTGTCTATCAAGGGTGCCAACGGGGAGTATCTTGTGTTGTTATCTTCACTGTATCAGCTTGGCAGACTGAGGTATGGACTGGAATGTGAGCTTTGTGCTGTGCTTATACTTTTCAGCAGTATAGCAACATGGAATTGCATGGGTGATTTATACTTGGAATTGGGTTTTGGGGGAAAAATGACCTGATTTCAGAGTTTTACCCATCTGAATTTTAGCATGTGCCCGAACCCTACTGTTGCGTGCCTGGATGTTATTTTCTTTAATGTTATTAAAGAGCTGGCACACATCCAGATAAAGCAAGTGACTATGTGGTAAAACATTATGAAATGAGTTTGCAATTGTAGTTCTTCATGATGATAATTTGGTATTCTTAGCCAGGTTATATGCCAGTACAGTCTAGAACGATGGAATAAAATTAGGATTGGGGATTTTTTTTTAGAATTCTGTTCATTGATTAACTTTAGTGCAGAACGATAGAGAACTAAATCCATAGGGTCTCTGAATCTATTGGATATATTTTCAGAATTTTGTAAAAAGAGGTAGATGTGTGAACAGTCTAGACTCCTTCAGGAGATATAGGCTTGTACACAAAACATTGAATTCGCGGCGTAAGTTCCTAGGTATATATACATTTTACCTAATTTGTGTTTTGTTCTGCAGATAACTGTTGACTTTGAGTCAGTATCAAAACATTTAAACTATCCTGTTGTTTACTTAACTTGGTGATTGATTTTTACATGTAAATTATAATGTACTTGAATTTCGGCATGCTGCTTAGACAAAAAAAGAAGCTATGTGCCTATGTTAATAATCCTTGAATTTTTATATTGGGCCTTTCACTTCTGGAGGAAGGCTCAAATGCTTCACAATGTAGTGTAGTGACTATTATTTCAAAGGTGACTGTGGCAGCCAATTTGTGCACTGCAGTGTACCATAACAGCCATGAAGTGAATGACAACAACAACAACTTCTTGCATTTATTTAGCGTATTCTTTCATGAAGAATAGTGTCTCAGAGTACTGTGCAGTGGTAGGGTTGGATGCTGAGCAAGGGAGAGGGGGCTGACCACTGGTCCATTCGAAAAGTTAAGTCTTAAAGTGGGATTTAAAGATAGATAAAAAGAGGGATAGAGCGGTGGGATTGGAGGTTAAGGGCGCAATGGATTCTAGAGGCTATTCAAACCTTCTGACAAAGAGATGAGTGAGTGCTACCCACTGAGCCAAGATGGCATATTGACTATAATTCTAAATTATTTTTTGATGAAGCTCTAATATGGATAGTTTTCCTGAGAACAAATACTGTACTCATCACTTAGTATTCTGATATTCTGATTATTTGTTTACTTGAACATTTTTGCCATGTTCTTTGTTACGATTAATCTTTACAATATTAAGTTATTGTGTTCAGTCCTTTTATTGTATTTAGCAGATTGCAGTAATAATGGTTTAGGACAATCTTGCATCTTAAAAGGATATTTTTTTTACTTGAATTTTTACATTCCAAATTCATTCTGATGTAGATACAGTAGTATCTAGATACAGTCAGTGTGTGGTTGGTTTTCTTGCGAGTGAATCATTTAGAAAATCATTGATATGTTAATGGAAAATGGCAGGATGGTAAGTAAATAAGGCTGCAGCTTGTCCGTGGATACTACTACGTTTGAACAAGCATGTAAATCAACCATTTTAGATACAGTAGTGTATTCAAGTGTATACCACTGAGGACGACACTAACTAAATGCCGAAGCACAGAATGTGAGACACGGGTTGTAAAGAAACATATTTGAATCAAATATAAATATTTGAAGCTTAAAATATTTGATCTCATGAATGAAATGCTTTATCTCATTACTGCGTGTTTCATTTATTTTATCTTTTTCCTCTGATTCAGCCCAACTTTGAAAAGAAATTCGAGTTCCTTTAGTCTTGGTATGTTCTCAGTCCCAGTCAATTCAGTTTAAAGATTTTTTTTTTAAAAATTGCAAATCATCAAGTTTGTGCACTTGGCACAGTGGTGGCGGTGTAATCTAATTTGGATGCATTTTGGTTTTGAGGCCAGAAACAAAGGAGGTTTACCACTTATTACAGTTGCCATCCCTTCCACCTAGTGACTCCCTGTTACCCAGCATGATCACGGACCCACATGGGATGCTGCTTAACTCCATATTTACACTTAGCCTTAGCTGGCAATGAGTCGCTACAGAAATTTGATCATTTTGGTTAGCTAAATGATTGCCAGAGGTGATCCATTTCATTTTTCCAGGGCATGACCTCAATTTCTGATCTGCCCACAATTTTCACTCTTGTCTGATTCGGGCTTTGGATTGATTTGAGCCGCCTTGTCTGCTTCGATGCTCGTGATACCAAGAGGTGTCATTTTTGACACAATCTAAATTTATATTGCATCTTTTGGAGCAAATTGGGGCAACTGCCAAACGCGCAGTGTAAACATGATGTGAGGTTTCCTCCCTACGTAAAGCTGGCTACCTTTGTCGAAAGCTATCAAAAGTAATGTCTTAAATATCCTACCAGAACAGGCAGAAAGGAACCTCCTCCAACAGTACAGTGCTCCTTCAATATTGCGCTGGTGAGCTCAAAGTTCATGTCGTGTTGAGAACTTGGAATATTGGGGAAACCGTGGAGTAAAGGAAGGAGCGCATAACAGCCTTCCTGTCCTATACCATGCTTAAAATCTAATGTGCGGTTTGATAGATTTGATCTTTGTGCTTTACAATTTAAGTTTTATTTTAATTCAATTGTTGCTGCACTACAGATTTACCTTGCCATGCCTTAAATATTGTAGTTGTCTTTCAAATGTGATCTGCTAAAAATGCAAATTGTTCCATGATTTTATGAATTGCAAGTTTCTTTAAACCTTGGACAGTCTGAGTGCAATTACATGTTCTACCTGGAATCGCAAATGAGGAATGATGTTTCTGAGTATTAGTGAATGAATATATATGTACATTAAACAAACATTTTGCTTTTTTTAAAAAAATTGTTAACTAATTGTTGAACACCTACAGCCCCCCCCCCCCTTCTTGTCTTTAATCATGTTAATTTTTTAAAAACTTTTTTTTAGGTCAGTGAACTTAATGCTTTGGAAGAGATCAAGACTGGCCGGCAGCAAATCTCCAAGGAATAATGGGAGGTGGATGATGTCACAACCAAAATAATTTTGCCTCCTTTTTTTGGGTTGGGGTATAATATTCACATTGAATTGAGAATGACTGTTGCCTTCTAACGATTAGTGAAGACGTCTATTAAAAGAAACACTAGGTAAGATGCTCCTCCTTTCAGCACTGGCTGTGATTGTTTCTAGAGAGAGTAAATTTCAGATACATTTGATAGTATCTTTTATAAAAATTTTAAAAAAAAGTACATCAGGATAGTGATAATAAACTTGTTTGTGTGACTCATTTTTTTGAAAAAATTTTTAATTGGAGAAATACAGACTCATAAATATTCAACCCACTTTATTGTGACCATTATACCATGTTAACCAAGAAGCCGATCTAGCTTCAATGCCTGTCCTGAAACTACCCTCAAGAACGTTGGATTTGGTTTTTAAAAGTTATATCTGGGTTAAATTTATCGATCGGGTTTCACTGAAAAAGGGACGTTTATTGGAGAAAATTGGTTTAGAAAAAAAATTCTTAATTATAAGGTTGTTAGAAGAATACTTGTTTGCCATTCTAAATTTACTTTAAAGCCTTCATAGACCTAGAAATTTTTTTGGTGAAATGTTACATGCAAGTTATATGCAAATATATGAAGCAGGGTGGTGGAAATTGATGTAATTTATTTAGCCTTGCAAACCTTTTGGACATTTATTGAGTAAAGCGTTTACACTTAGTAGTATCAAATTATTATTTTTAGTAACCTTTTTATATTGATACTCTTTCATCTATTTTTTTCCCCCCACGATCTTGTATTTTAAAATTGTTCCACCAAAATGGTTTTACTGTGGTTAATAACAAATAGAATTCTTATGCTTTTGATCTGATTTGAATGTGTCGTACGTTCTCAGTTGTGTGTTGCATAATTGAAGAGCAGAGTCCAGCCACCTCCGCTGTTAGTCTAGGGGAAATGAAAAACTCTACAATATGAAAATACTGTAAGCTGCATTGCGGTACCATATGCCACAACCAAAGAAAAATTAACCATCTAACATACTATTTGCATTCAGTTGAAACGGTCAAATGTTCAATAGACTTTCACTCACTGTTATTTATGTGTTGAGCATAGGACAACCCTGTTATAACAATCTCATGGGTTCATTCTCTTAGTTCCCAGGTTATAATGAACTGTGTAAAAATGTCTGTTTATTGTATCACCGGTGGCAATGTTTTCTGCGTGTTTCACACATGCTTTCCTGTTAACCACAATTTTTAAAAAAAGAAATAAATTCCGGGTTGTCAGGTCACTGCCGACAACACTTCTTGCTCACTGCACGTGTGCGTTATACACAGGAATCGATATTGACATCAATTCCTTCATGGGCTGATGTCAGGGGTGCTTTATGCAGGGACTTTCATCGATTGTGGTCTGACGACTTGGAAGTTCTGGTCTGTGTGCCATAGCCCAGGATGCCTGTCTTCTAAGCAGATCTGCCTTATTTTGTTTTGCCCACAAAATATAGTCAATTCACTTTGCAGTATATTCTGTGAAACTCTTGGAGACATCTCGAAGCTGTGATAAGGCGCTAGATCAAATGCAAGGATGATTATTATTATAATAGCGGGGTTGCCCTGTATATTTTTGTTTTCCTTAGTGAAATTGTGAACTTTAATGGGTGCAATCCTTAGAGCAGCATAAAACATTCTAAGTCTTCTCTGAAGAAGAAATTTGAGAATGTACTAACCGGAAGGGTTTTTAAAATAATTTTTCTGCTTCTTTATTTGTTACAAAGCTATCTTAAGTCCTCTGAATGGGGGTGTTTTATTAGGCTGCAGTGCCCAGTGTCATTCTGGTCACGGTTTCATATCAACAGTGGGGCATGGCATCTTCCAGTGGTGGCTTTGGGTATCAAAAGCATAGCAATACAAAACCGTAGGATTGTATGAAGGATAAACTGCTGAATTTTCCTCCATAGTCCTAGGGCAAAAACATATTTTTGAGTTTTTCTCTCTCCTCAATTACTTAAACATATAATTACAAAGCTCCTTATGTTGCTATAGTTCATAGTACGCACTATAAAACTGGATTACCAGGCAGCTAGAATCCTTTATATAAGACTGCTAACTGTGTGAGGCTGTTTCCAGCTGCGCAGACCTTGTTGTAATGTAATGGCTGAGATGACAACTGACCTTTTTGTTTGTCATTATTACATGGACTGTTAACTGTTTCCCTTTGTTTTACCTCTTCAGCGCCCCCCCGCCCCCCGCCCCATCCCCCAATAAAAAACTAACACAATGTTCAAAATATTTGAATAAGATAATTTAAAAAAATTGAACACCAACCCAAGCTGATTTCAGCTGTAGTCAGATTCCATTAATACAAATCACCCTTTGATTTCACTTGGCAAAGCAGTGGTTTTACAGGTCAGGCAATACCTAATAAGGTGTGAAAAATGTAATATTACTTTTCCAGTTGCTGTAATTATTCCTTTGGATTGACCTATTTTAAAGGAAAACACAGTTGCTGAGTGATTCCAGTTGTGGCTCCGAAAGGCTCGGTTGGTGACCAAAGACCTTTCCTGCCAGTGTATAGACTGAAGCAAACAACAGCTTTTTTATGGTTTTGGGTAAGGCAATAGAGCCAGCCACACATGTCAACCTTCAGCAAGCTAACACAGCTTTCTAGGACTGTTCTAGGTCTGTGAGGCTCTTCCCTTAATCTTCCATGGTCTGCCCTCCCATGTTCTTCCTTCCTCCATGCAATTCATAGGCTTTTAAATCTTTGCATCACCTATCTTTATTTCTGCTTTCTCTTTTATTCTTTTCAAGCTTTTGCCATTCACTCAGGTTTCCCGTTTTTTTGACATAGTAAAAATGGAATAATATTAAACTTGACATCCAGGAATTTTCATTTGCAATGACTACAATAATATCACATCACCGCAATTTAGGATTCATTGCTTCAGGATTTAGTTTCCACAAACATGAATCAAATACTTATGGAACAGGACATGAGAATTTCGAAATCATTGTGTTGGTCGCCCATCTATGGTGAGACTAATTTGAAGCTCTCTGCCTCTCCTCAGTGCAGAGTTTACAGAAGGCGAACAAGGGAAGGATAGGGCAGGTAAATCATTGCAGCATAGATTGATGTAATTAAACAAGCTGCATTTATTCTCCCTGTTGAATTAGAGCAGTAGATGGGAGTGTTGTGTTCGAGCGAACATGGAACATTTTCCAGACAGAAGCCGTAAATAGTACTTGTTTTTTGTAAAAGAATCATTCTATGAAGTTTGCATGTGCTGACTACAGACTTCTACTGTGAGAAAACATGGATGTTAATTGGAAACGAGTAAATGCCAAATCTGGTTTATGTGCTTCAAATTAGCTCTGACAACATGATATTTTTTCCAATCTCCAGACATTTTTAAGAGTTTCAGGCTTCATGCCAGGTATCATTAGCCAACCTTCAGTAAGCATTTGCTTTAATCTAAATAATTGTACAAATGAATGGATTATTATTAATAATAATAAATAAATAATTATTTATTTTGCTTTATTTCAAGCTTGTATGAATCAATAGTGTTATACTAATTTTCAGATCAATTATAAAGGCTACAACCTTTAATGATGTAGTCCTGAGCATATTGATTGCACGTATCAGCTTATTATTATTGAATTTCTGAAAAGGAAATACAAACTATATTTGATTAAATGATTTCTAACACAAAGGCACTCCGCTGTCCTGGCTGAGATCAGATAACTGATCATAGATTAAGATTTTAAAAAACTGCAACCTTCAATCTATATGGCTCAGCACAACACCATGTAATGTCTTTGCTCATTAGCCCATCAGAAGGTCATTGCCTGGTTTTAAGTTTGATTTCTTCTAAAATGCACTTAGCTGTGTTATAATTTATGAACAAGCTCTTAATCCATCATCCTTACCAGCAGAAACCTTATATGCTCCTGGAGGGGAAAGAAGAGGTGCTTCCTGATCATCCACTTTGTAAATCAATATTAGTGTTTGATGCTTTCATTTGTGGCCTAGAGGTTCAGCAATCATTCCCAGAGGTTCCAGCATTTGGGGTGGGGGCGAGTCTGTGCTCAGGATCTTACATAATTCCCAATTGTAGACCTTTCCTACATTCACTCTCATACACTTCCTTTTGTAATTAGTCGAATGTATGGCTCTATGTCAGCAATTTCCAGTATTGGTCATCTATCAATGGACTTAAGTACAAAAGTCTTCAGTCCAATGCGTTACAGAGTAGAAACACTTATATCGATGCCAACATAAAGAAATGTCTGTGCTTTTATTATTGTATAATATAAGAGACTTCAGAGACCGTTTTGCAATTTTTAGAAATTATAGTTATTTTCAGAATTAGATGGCAATAATGGTTCAGTGGAAGAGACAGTGTATTGGAAATCTTTACTGAGAATTGCTTCTTACCGCCAGCTTGTCTGATTTTGAAGAATAATTATAACCATAAACTGTTATTGATTGACTTTGGCGAGCCATATTTTTCTTCAAAATGGCTTTCGAACAAATGCATTTCCAGTCATTGACTGCTTCATTAGTGGCTCTTCGAGTTCTAAAAGATATGTTATTAAACCACATTGGATCAATGCTGCTGCTTTTTGCTGAGGCTTCACTGCATCAGCTAAACCTTCTTGAAATGTAATACCCAGGAGTGCTGCAGTTCCATTGGAAACGCTGAAACTGAGGTCACGCAGCAGATTGTGTCTGCATCCTGCATGTGCAAACAAAAACATTTTCAATTAGGCAAGTTTTCTTTTGTTCATTTTCAAGTATAAACATACAAGCATTTATTTTTCTAAAAATTAGGCTCGTAAGAACTGTGTGGACAAGGTCTCGAACATGTGATGAGGCTCTATATCAAATGCAAGGATTATTATTTATTATCACTACAGTGAAATTCTGTGAAAAAATTGAATAGTTTGTTTTCAAAATAATTAGAAATTCCAACCTATTTGTATGCTCAATCTAAGAATACAGTTTGGTTAATTTAATATTGGATATATAAATAATTTGGTTTATCGAATCATTTTCACTGCGACAATTTTATACAGAAAGCCAATTAATCTGAGACCAGATAAACACATAGCCCCAAATCACAACCTTTTACAGTACAGCGCAAATGTGGTCGGGGGTCCTCACCCCCTTCGCCCTCCCCTCCTCGCCCCCTTCGCCCTCCCCTCGTCTGTTGTTGGCATACATATGTGTAGCGTTCAGTCTGGTTTGGATACTCTTAAGAGTGGTGGTTTCTACATGTGTTAGATATCCCCAAAATGTTAAAGATGTGAGTTTTGCTTTCTATTAGGTTAAAATAAATCCTTACACTGTGGTGTTTTATTGGGATTTCCCATTATAATCAAAGGGAATGTGAGTAACAGTCAACAGAATGTTTACACCATTATATGGTCAGTGATAATGTTATCAACACAATAGTTTTAAAAAGTAACAGCTGTGCTGGTGTTGCAGGAACCGTATGTGCCGTATATTAAGGGAAGTTTGGGGCAACAAACCGATGATCTATGGTTGAGAAAAAGTTGGTGTAATGTAACTGAATAAAGGGGTTTTGCAAGAGCTTTCTCTTGTGACTATATTTGCACCAATCCTAAGCTGAGGCATTGCAATACAATTCAAATTACATTTGTATAACGCCTTTCACGTCGGGAGGATGTCCCAAGGCCATTGCTAATAACTGAAAAAGCACAGTATGTGAGTCAAGGTCATAAAGGAATATATAGTCTGTGCGTCTGGAAGCCAATTCTGCATTCATTTATTTATGTTGTAATTAAGCACTAAAGCAGCTTAGAAAGCAAGTAGTGTCGTTGCTAAGTTTGACACTTTTTAAAGCGCACACAAACTATTTGTACAGTGGCATATATTATATTATCACTAAATGTTTAGCACTAAGGCTTGCAAGTCAGCAAGGCTTAGTTTTTTTGGGTTAGCCGGGTGTGCAGATATATATCACCATGCTTAAGAGTGTCGAAAACAGACCGAGTTCCACCTACACCTGCAAATTCCCGTCCACACTGTTCGCTGTTGCACAAACTCTTGATTTGTTACACTCCAAGGGATTGACATTCGGGTGGTGAGAAACAGACCAGGCCTTTGAGAAGTGTCCTTGTGCTTCCTCTGAATAATACTTCATTTTATCCTGTTTGTAAGTCCTGTTTTATTAGTAAAGAAAGGAAATTGCATCAGCAATGTTAGAACATCTCCAAAAACTTCACAATAATTACTGTCAGCTGTAGTGACCATTTTAAATAGGTTAAAATCCTGTTTTATTTTTTTAAAAAATGTGAATTCTGAAATTGTCGAATTTGGCTATAAGGGGAATACGCTGTTTAGACAATGACCAATTTAAATCTGATCTCCATTTCAAAGGTCGTTCATGATAGACGTGTGATATTTTTTTAAATCTCAAGTGTCATTTTGGATTGCCCTGTTCAGTTCAGATGAAAAATATCATCAGGGACGTTTTAGATGGGGAAATAAAAAGTAATTCACCATTCAGAAAACCTTTCCCTGACATAAATTAACATTTATTTCCCCGCTTTCTTGCTGCAGGCACTTTACCCACGACACTGAATGGATAGGATGAAGATCATCAAGCGCAGGCTGTCGATGTCACTGCGCAGCAGCCGGCCTGTGGATGATTCTCTCTCTGAGCTGGCTGAGCAAATGAACCTCGATGAGAACAACGTTAAGGACAATGGTAAGTGCTTGTACTCTATCCATCTCAATTGTTCAATAATTGTTCAATTGGCAGCCCGCCTCTTTGTATTTGATTTGTCTGCTTGGGCTGTGAGCTCCTAAGATATTAGCTCAAGTCTTTAGATCAATAGAATTGCAGGAAACCAGTGGTCCAAGATTCTGTTCCTTTCAAATACCTGGCTCAGTCCAGCAGATTTCATGGTCCTCTAAAGTAACTCCAACATGTGCCTCAAGGATCTATCCCCAAAGCCTACTTCAGCCACTTAAATGTCTACTGGCGATTGTTAACTATTAGTCATTTGAATCTCTTTCAGAAATGATGCGTAACTCATTGAATGATCACATTTCTTGCACAGATAATTGCTGATAGTTTGTGTGGATCGTGTCTAAAGACTTCCTAAGTTTCTCCTTTTTCCTGCCCCCTTTCACCACCACCCTTTCACATGCACACAAGCTGCCTGGAAATATTTTACAGTCCACATTTGATTTCCAAATAAATTGCTAAGAAAAATGAAAAACAATTTTTTTAACAGAAACTCAAAACCGTGTCTTTTTTGGAACCTGTTAAATGAGTTGAAAATTTCATCTTTCAACCCTCCTCTCCTTATTTAGGTGGTGACTTATGCTTGGCTACACAGGTACTAGTTGCCCTTTGGTATATACTCAAGTAATTATTCATTCACGAACCTCATGAGTAAGTGTCAATAGGGTTGTTTTATTTACCTATTAACTGTTAAATATTTGACTTCTATACTGAAGTTGTTTAATTAATTTTTTTTTAGATTTACTTAATGATGCAGGTATTTTGTATATTCTCTTTTATGTGAAAAGCAAGCAAGTCGTGAAGCCAGCCCCTTCATAACCACTTCTCCCCTTCATTAACTGCCAGAGGTCTGTGCTTATTTTTAGGTTATCCGAGTTGTCATAATGTATTTCCTGCTGAAAAGTACGGATGAATGAAGCTGTGCAAGCCCACATATTTGATCCTTGTGCAGGAAGAGTTTTCCCAGGCTGGCTGGCATCTTGTGACCTAGTTTGCATTGTTAAATGTTAGGCTAGTACATAAATTGCTGATCTTCTCAGAATACAAACCAACAGCGTTCTTTAATAATTTAAGTCCAATTGGTAATGTTTTAATCAAACCAATTTCTTAATTGTTATTTATAGTTAATGGCACAGTCCTTTACTGAATCATATGGCATTAAGATCTGGTGGAAGGAAGACTAATAAAACATGCACTTGTTGCGTCCTGGATTTTGAAGCCAACCTTTCAGGCTGGAGGCCTCTGCTGGCCGACTGGAGGTCTAACAGTGTGAGTTCAGACTTGTTCGACCGAGCAGTTTCTCCAAATTGAAAGGAATCATTTGTTTGGCAATGAGACAGCTGTTCTGAAATTGAATTCATTTATTGAATGTGAAGTTGTTGAGCAGTGATTTCCCAAGGACAAGACGTAGTAGGGAGTGAACGATTGTCTCTGTCGATGTGTTTTTGGACTTGTACTGATTCAAATGTTTACAATAGAGGGCCAATTATCTGCACAAATTGGTACTTTTGTGATAAATGGACAGTATGGATAATTGGACATCACACAAACTACAAATTGTCTGTGGTGTTAAATAAAAATTGGTTTCTCAGGTGTTGTACAATCACTGTCGTACCACACTGTTCCAGCCTTTTGCTTTAACTTTGTTGCCACATTCTTTAACTTTGTTCTCTCTCTCTCTGACTTCAACCATAAACCATACAATGGTATAAGCACTTACCTTCACACCAATTATAAAATAAAATCCACGTGTGTGTGTGTGTATATATGTATTAGTTAAGTTGAGCATGTGCATAAGTACAGAGTCACGTGCATGCACAGGAGGTTACTGGGGTTGTTTACAGTGAATGCCCCTTCCTTCCCCATCTTCAGGTCGCTCCTCAAGACCTTCCTATTCAACCGTGCCTACAGTCAACTCCCCACGGCTCAGCGTTGTGCTCGGTCACTGTCAAGCGCTCTGGGACGCTACCCTGCGAGAGGGGCGCTATATAAATGCAAGTTGTTATTGTAAATTGCTTCCCAGCAACCTCACTTGCATGTGCGAAATTGGATTATTTTTGTCGTTATCTTCCAGTCCAGAGTCCCAATTCCACATTGGGTGGATGTGCGGATAGTTGGCATGCAGATAACCAGTGTTGTCCATCAGGTACCCTCCACATACCTCTGAGTTAATCTCCGCTGGAACACGGATGGGGTGGGGGAGTGGAATAAGAAGCTTTTAGGTGTCACTCTTGGTCCCGTGTTCTTGTCATCTATTTAAAGAGTGGACCTTGCTGTGCTAATTAGTTAACGTTTTCCATAATTCAAAAACCTGCTCCACTTGACATTTTGACAAAACAAAATAGAATATTTATAATGTTTTTTCAAATGCGCTCCACGAGGACCTCAGTCGCTCGCTGCAGTTGACTGCTTTTTCTCAGTATGGCTTTGCAATAATAAAAAATTATTACGCCTCATTGTAAAGTCCAGAATCCATTCCTTACCAAATCAGAGATAGTAAAATCAGTAATGAAATGTATATTCCTTTGTTAGTCGTGCATGGCAACAACCTACCCTGCCCGTGCTGGTATGTTGGTCATGCTTTACAAGATTGGTGGATTTATGTGTGCAATGCACAGGAAGTAACTGTTTATTGTCACTTCAGCAGACCCACACTTGTAACTTGTCTTTGTTTGCGACAGGATTCCTTCCTCCCAAGTGGGGTACTATAGAAAACTCCAGTGGCCTAAGGATCTAGACTCCTGAGACTGTAACCGGGGATTGACTTGATTTTTTTGTTGTCATTCTGGTGTCAAGCACATCAGCCAACTTGAGTTAACGGATATCATGCTTCCCTTCCCCCAACCCACCCCATGAAGATCACTAGTAGGTCATTTGAAATTGGGCAGGTTGGAGCCTTCACAAGGAAGATAGCAGGTACCACAAACACTCTTGTGAGCTTCCTGGTGAGTAGTACAGCTCAGCGTGAAATGTGTGAGCATTGCTACCATCCTGCCAACAGCTCGGCACAAATCCCTAGCAATTGTGCGATGGTTCCACCAATTGGAGGTATGGAGCTTCAGCAGCAGATGCTGCTTATAATAATCTTGCATTTGATACAGCGCCTTATCACGTCTTCGAGACGTCTCAAAGCGCTTCACAGAATATTCTATAAAGTGAATTGACCGTATATTTTGTGGGTGAAACCTACCTCTCAACTAGCAGCATTTTCCAGATGTCTGTTACAATTACACCAACATTTATATTGAGTTTATAAATATGCAAATTCCCAGTATGCAATGTCTATTTATGTTTTCAATTGATTTTTTTTGAACAAAAATGTTTCATTAGTACTTCTGTTCATTTTTTTGGGCTCAAGATTATCATTTGAAATTCATTAGCAATCCTCAATATGGATTTTGAAAATAAAATCTTTGCAATAAAGATTTGTCTGTCAATACTTTAGTCCCTTTACTAATGCAGTTATACTTTGATGGATGAAGAACTCGTTTTTCTCCCTGGAATGGAAACATTACATAAAATGTGACCTTTTCCAATTATTGGACAAATCATGACTGACGTACGTATATAAGACTGATCATGTTCACTATAATGCGCAATAATTGGGCAACATATTAGCAGTATTACCTTCTGTATAAGCAACTTCAACTGATCTCATCCACTTCTCAATATAAATCGTGAATAATTGAAACCGTTATATTAAATTACCTAAATTAAATCTTGGCTTTAATTACTTTGTTTCAACAACCTATAACCCTGAGCTCGGTCAATGAACCTTATATATATATATATTATAAATACATCGCAGAAGTGGTTGTTTTAATTAATTTCCAGTTAAGATAGCCCATGAAAGCAGCCTTGCATTGAATATCATGAATCCACCCATTAAATTACTCACAAAATCCAGTTTACACTGACTTTTGATTTCACACAATTACCGGAAGTGCCATGTTTAGTGAGAGCACTTGGCAATCTCATTTGCTGTATCATAAATTGTGGAAATAAGGTCTTGAATGATGAAGAAACATTTGCAGTTCTATGTCAGTTGGGCAGTTGATGGATGGAGGGATTACTTAAGCAGTGATCTTTAAAGTGCCCAGGGAGAAAGCATTTTATAGCCACCATTTATTTTTTTAGACCAATTTGAAGAATGTTCTAATTCGCTGCAACCTGGATCAAATTTGTATTTGTACTTAAATTGGCCAACATGGTGAGGCCATGATCTTTACTTCTGCCAGTGGCTTCTTCCTCTTGACCTCGCATCAATTGCCTGACAGTTACTGTGCTTAATTTATGTAATGGGGACAGCTTCCAATTAGAAATCAGGCACTTACTTACAGGATCGATAGGGTTATACATCACAGAATTTTGTCATTTTTATGGCTGGGATAGTCCTGAGCGCTAATATGTGTTTTCAGCCACCATGCCCCAAATCTCTGCAGCTCTCCGCTTCAATCCCTCGGCCTGTCCCTCCTTGCCCATCTTCAGATCGTATCTGAAGACCTGACTCTTTGACAGTGCCTACTTCACCTCCCATCTCTCCTCGGCTCGGTGTTGAGCACTCCAAGATGCTACCCGCTTGACAATTACTGTATAAATATAAATGCAGGTTGCTGTTAATAACCTTCCATGCTTTTTGTCACTGGGCAGAAGAGAGGAAATGGCAATGAAGCATGGATGTGTGTGTATAGATAGATAGATAGATGGATGGCCCTGTCCTGCAGCAGATGTGTACCATATACTACTAACTTGATAGTATAGTGCAAGATGGATTTGTTACTCTGGGCTTATTAAATTGTGTGTACAATTACGGATTACAAAAGAGAGTTGAAATATTTTCCTTTCCCCTTCCCCAAAACAAAAAGTGTAAAAGGAGTGAAAGAGCGTAGGTCGTTAAAAAAGAATGGATTGTGGGTCTGGAGCAGAAACATCATTTGCCATCATTTTCCTACATGAGGTAGCTCTGGAATTTAAACACAGCGCTTAGTTGTAAGGTGAGTGGGTTGGCTGCTGCTTGAGCTAACAGATTGCACTCAAATCTTTGACTTTCAGTCAAGTTGCTTTGGCGTGACCCAAGCTAGAAGTTTGATTTTGCTAATGGAAAAACGCTGGTGAAGATGAGAGTGACAATGACAGTAACAGCCATTGGCAAACATTTGCTTTCCTGAGGAGAAATCGCTGATGTGAAATCTAAGCTCAGCTGAATGACTCATTTGTGAGACACCATTTTGTTCAACAGCACAGTGTCCTCCGCAGCACCTTTACATTATTTCAGTTTGATCCGTATCTGGCACAGCTGGGTGACTCATTTGAAAATCTGAACACTAATCTGGAGTTGACAGCTATACTCACCGCAACCACTGGTTTTGTGCTTATTTGCTTTTATGTTGCTTTGTGTCGCTTTGGCATTTCTAATGTACATGCTGTCTCTGTCTACAATAAGCACGTCTGATTGAACTAATTGCTTAATGCTTGCTTTTCCATTATTTCTTCATCCTTAGCATGCAATACTCAATGACTACGTTTTTTTAAAAAAAACTTAATTAACCCTTTGAGGGCGTGTTTTAATTTGGACCATTTGTTCGAAATTTATTGATCCTGATGCATTGAAGGTTCTACTCCTGCTGAAACAAAGACGTACATTGAATTTGTTTGGAAGAGAAATCTTTGTTCCATGTGGTACATGTTGTTGATGCTGCTCCTTAATTAACTGATAGAGAAAATAACAGTCATGCTATTCTTTAAGGTGCACCCTACCTCACTATACTTTGACTGACCTAAAGTTTGGCGTGAAAATAAGTGAAATCCTGGCTCCCCTAGTTGACTCTGATGAGTGTTCCTTAATTGTTTCTTGAATGATTAGTTACTTAGGAGTAAATTGAGCATTTTACCAACCTGAACAATTCACATTTCTTTCTCACGACCAAGTCAGCAAGATTTTCTGCAACTATGGAAAAACCCTGTTCCTCATGTATTCTATTTATACAACAGTTGTGGGGTTTATAATTATCCAAGAAAATTGAAAGAATGAAAGAAAAGGACTGTAATCCAAAACTGATACCTGTTACAGCGTTACCATCTGGGAATGGAAGACACTTTCATATTCCCTGTAGCTGACAGAATAGTTTAGTAAATTGGCACTACGTGGAACAAAATCTTTCTGTGCAATTCCAAGTTCTGCTGCACCGCAAAAACATTTTTTTTCCGAATAGAACTTAAAAAGCAAAGGCAATTTGCATGTCCCCTTATAAGATTGGGTGTTTGGATTAACGGCAACTCATAAAGCTTGGGTTGGATGCTTAACTTTTCCTGACATTGGGAAACACAGCTGAAATGGGGGAAAAAAATGTACCTGCAGTCTGACGTAACTTACACAATGATGTACACTTTATAAAACACAGTATCAGAGTAGGCCTGATTCTGAGGGTGAAAGCTTTTTAACCAGGATCCGGAAAGCTTCAGATATTCCCAGATGGTTAAGATGAATTGTAAATATTAGCACTCTTCCTCCTACCTCCACAACTCACTCTGTGTCTCCTACAGTTTTAATCAGGGAGCAGCATTGATTTCACCTTTTTTTCTGGATACACAAAAATGCACTTGACTTCATCATGGCTATCAAAGGGAATAACACAATAAAAGTTCAGACAAACGGGAAGATCAAGAGAACAAGAGTCTTGTCTTTTCATCCGTGCATTTTTTTTTTTTTTACACGCTTTTTCTCCCCTATTGGCAAAAAGAAAATTCCGACCTCAAAGGGTTACATAATGCTGTAATTACTATATGTATATCCTAAAAGTTTTTCCCTTTAATTTTTTCTTTCCTGTCCTTTTTGTTTTTTTTCCCTCTCTTCTCTATTTTTGCTGCTGCTGGATTTTCTCTCTCTTGCCTCTGGGATTTCCACCCGCGGTGCGATTGTAGAGCCTATCGTGAAGAATGGCAAGGCAACAAGATCCCAAAGCATGCACTCCTTTCTGCACCAGTATACAGGCACTTTCAAAAAGCCACCTCTACGAAGGCCTCATAGTGTGATTGGCGGGAGCGTGAGCTCCTATGTCACCATGTCCAGGAACAGTAAACTGGGTGAATATATCCCCTTTTAATTTTATTATTTTATTTGTTATACAGGGTGACCAAAAAAGTCCTATTTTTCAGCTGCCCTACTTTTTAAAAAAAAAATCCATCATTTCTTTAAGACTTACAATTAATGGTATCATGACTTTTTGGTCACCCTGTACTTGTCAGAGATATAAAGAATTCTACCTGTTGAAGCATTTGAGCTGCTTTTTGTTACTCGAGAGAGTTATACCGGCCAGCCTCGTGAGTGGAAATAAATTTTATTGTTTCAACGTGTTTATACCATAAGTGTGTGCTTTGTTTCAATTTTGATTTATTTAATATTTTTTTTCCCCAAAATATCTTTCTGTTTTGTATTACGTGAGAAATAAGGCTGTTTTTTTCATTTAGAATAAGCTCAATGATCAACTATGTGGGAAAAGGGTGTGGGGGTAAAAATTGTTGATTGCTCTTCTGCACAACTCACAAGTAAGTTCGCTCTATACTTATGGTATAAATGTCAGTACAGAGACTTGTATTCCTTACAAAAAGATCAAATGAACCTTATTAAAGTTGAAAGGATTTCTTGCTGAATGGAATTCTTCAGCATATTTCCCAAATCACTGCTTGCTATGATGGTGTCTCTTGTATTTTATTACTTTATTGATTTGATTTGAGTGATGTATCCATAATCACTGCTCAGTTCTATGCTTTGATTGAAGCTGCTTCCTTTAAACTTTGATTTTCTGTACTCTGTGCTCATATAATTGATCTTCAAGTATCTTCAGTTTGTTTTCTAAAATGTGTCACGATGTTGAATCCCATTCTGACATCTCAGTGTGCTGGTTTCATGGCAATTTTACGAAGCTTTTAATGTTAGGGCTAGGATAAAAGACGTGCTAAGTGTATAAAAGAAAATGGAGACAGCACATCAGCAACTCCTTATGCAGGTTTGGTAAATTCTTAAAAGCTCTTTAAGAATTACGAGCTATATTCATTTAAGGCTTTATATTTGGCATCTGTACTACAGTACAGATGTAGCCAGCGGCTTGGGACGTCCTTCTGACGTGAAAGGCGCTATACAAATGTAATTTTGTTGTTGTTATACGGCAGTGATTTTGGGGTCCATTGAATCTACTAAATCCCAACATTGCTTACTTTATAATGGTTTCCATGCAGTCAGCAGGTTCCCACATGCTAAAAATTGGCCAGCTTCAGGTTGTGAGGTTGCTGCTGATGTGACCTTCTAACCTCTCTGATAGTCTACACCCAATTCACATTATAAGTGAATCTGCTCTATAACGAACCACAATATTAGGCGTTGTACTGTATTATCATGGTATGGCTATTTACTGCTTCGTGCGCTTTTGAACAAACTAAACATGACTACAAGACGAGAATTTGATCAATACAATTGAAGAATTGTCAAAGAACATTGTTATAATTGCTTTTTCCAGCCACGTTCATAAATACAACCTTTGCTGGCATTCAACATGGTTGGAAAGTGGGAAAAGGTACCCATGGCAAGTTCATAATACTTGTGTATAACCTTATTTTGTTTTCCCCACCTACTCTGATTTAGTTGCACTTCAGAATTATGAATTTAGGCGACTATTTTCAGGGGACTTAGACAGGTTATAGGAACAGCAATGTGCTGCAATTGAAATGGGCTCCACCAGGTGGCAGTCAGAAATACCCTTTTAAAGGAAATAAAATATGGGAAATTTATTGATTATTATTGATTACAGTGCCTTAACACATCATTGAGATGTCTCATTGCGCTTTACAGGATTTTACTGTAAATTGTAGTGACTATATTTGGAAGCAAACGCAGCAACCATTATGCGCACGGCAATGTTCGACAAACAGCCATGAAGTAAGTGACCAATTTTTAAACGTGTTCTTCTCCAATATCTAATTTAAACTGTAAATTAAATTTGATTACTTTATCCCTATTTCTGAAGACACTAACCACATTACTGTCAGTTGCCACAGTGATATCTTTTCATTTTGAAATGTCAAAAATACTTGTTTGATCCATTTAATCTGTCTCTTTAATTCTATATCGTTCTTTGTTAAAGTACTGTGTTACGTAAAATAGATGGCTTTCAGATATAATTTCTCTGCATTGGAGTGAGGACAATTGATCGGACAGTCGGTCAGGTCATGTTGGTCAGTCAGTCAGCCTTCTACGACGGTACTTAAGTAAATATATGAAAAAAGAAGTATCTGTGCTTATACATGTATTTATTAGACCAGAAATGTTCAATGCTTGAGACAACTGAGATGCAAGAAGCAGTTGATGGCTTGACCAAACTCATCGATAACTTCTAGTTCAAGATTGACTTAGTGTAATCCATTCTACACTGTAGCTATTGGTTGATAAAAGTGTTCAATTTAAACTTTAGTGAGGATTCTTCCTCATTCGGCATCCTCCACACACCCCTGCACTCCACCACGAGTCCAAACGCACAATAAAAGTTAAAGGGACCCCAGCCTTTTAAGAAGGTTTGATACATCATTCGCGTCACGAGTCCTGAACCAACTACACAAGGGGTGACCATCGTCGCATTAGCCGTTTTTTTTTCTGTTTCAAAGCCATTTTACAGAATTTTCTGTGAAGGGGGATTGTGTTTGTAGATGAACGGGACAGCCCATTTGCACACAACAATGTCTCGCAAACAGCCATGAAATTAATGACCAATTTTACTTGGGGGGGATTGTCGGCCAGGACACGGGGCGAAAGAAACTCACTCCCTTCTCTGAGATCTTCGATTCAGATTTATTCCAAAAATATACAGTTTTTACCTCGTTAGCATTTCTTCGATTTATTTTTAAAAAATACTTAGAACTTAATGTACTTTTTTTTAAAAAAGAAAACAAATAAGTGTCTTGCAGAGGGCACCACTCTTAAATGCCAGAGTGAAAGTAAAACCATGTTAAGTAATGCACAGCCCTGCTGACGCTGGTGAGACAAAGAAATTGCCCGCTGTTACCGCAACCGGCCCAGTATCAGTAGCAGCTGCAGGTGGGCCTGGGACACACATACCATTTAACTCAGAATAAGTAATGATATCATGGTGAAATGAATTTTATCATTCCATTTTATCGTCACCTTTTTTTTAATCCGTGTAAATGTCTTACATAAGTGAGGCACGCTGACTCAGCCCAGCTGACATTTCTGCTGCAGGAAGGATCATAGCATTTTTCATGAATAATAAATATTACTGAAGCGTGGCCTAATGGAAATTATGAGGTAATGGAAATAGTGTAATCTTGTCTTCTGAAAATATAGTGTCTTCTGAAATATTTCTGTTGAAGAGGAAGGAGAACAGCGGGGTTGTAGATTTATCATCTATAATTTGTACATTTGTGTTGGGAAAACAAAGTTTGTTAGTTGGCGATTGTTGGTTGCCTGCAGTAAGTACAATATGAGAACATACCTCTTCAATTATATTGGTCATATTGAATAAAACCCAACACCAGTTTACTAAGAGAGGCCATTGATGAGAATCCAGCGGAGAAATGATGTCTGAAAGCCATTTATTTTAGTAATGGTATTATAACTTTAGTATTTTAACAGCTTCTGGGTGTTAGAGGTACTTAGAAAGCTCTTTTTACATTCTCAAGTATCCTTATGCCTTGTAGATTATCTGATCATATTTATTTTGCATCTCAATATTCAGGAAGCTGCTCAGTTTACCCTGGATGGAATAACACAGTGGCTTTTTTTTTAAACCACTGCACAGGCAGAATATATCTTGCACTATTATTAATAAATATTTTACAGCTATTTTACACTCACCCTCTCCTCCAGCCGATAAGCTAAATCAACTGTGGTACAGAAATTTTCTATAATCAGTCACTGTGCTTTGATCAATAGTAATATTTTCATTCCCATGGGGGGGGGGGTGGAGTTCTGTTTTCTGAAGGCAATTCTTTTGGTATGCTGAAGCTAAGATACGAGGAAAAACAACATGTACATGTAAAGAAAAGGCACACGTAATGGGTTAACAGAATATTTTAAATGGGCTGCTATATGATTTTTGTCAGTAGTTTTCTTGCTCCAGTTGTCGGTCTGTGGATATGCAGCTGTCTGGGTTTAGACAAGGCAGTGTACTGCATGACAAATATTATCCTTTGGCTGCTGCTCTGTAATGAAGAGCTTTTTTTTTTGAACGAGGGTTGAAATTACTGAATATCATTACTGCTTCATTGACGTACACAGTCCACCTTCTTTCCAAGAATGAGAAATGGAAGCAGTGCACTGTGTGTTCACCGTCAGCTTTCAGTGCAGTAACGGACTGTTCTAAACAGCAGTCATTCAGACTGATTTGTTGTATGAATCAAAGGGCATCTGCCACAAGAAGAGTAATGAGCTCATACCTATTGGTCTCTGCGATAGAACATGGCAAAATATATGCGTGTCTGGGTTGTTCCTTTTGTTCACTGCTCAACATAGCTTCGGTTTACTGAAACGGAATATTTGAAAAACGCAAATAAGAAAGGAATTGTCGTCCTGATTTATTCTGCATTGATTAAGACAATTTACAGTGCACATTCACAGCGACTTTCTAAATTAGACTGGAAGCGGTACAGTTTTGCCCTCGGGCTGCCGCTTGCTGAGCAAAAGGCGATGCTTCATTCATCTGCCACTTATTCGAGTACCTGGGCTTCAGGCAGCTAGCTGGACGGGGTGTGGGTTTCTATTGTTTGCTGGTGGACTTGCAGAATGCTCAGACTTTGCCTTTGAAGAATACCAGGGAAGAAATGCTCTGTAGTGTCCTATTTTCACAAAGGCTGGGCTTCAGTACGGTATCTTGGATTTTGGTGCATATTTAACAAGGAGCCTTTGGATTCCCACTGGCTGAGGAGATTGCAGTAAGCTCTCTGCTCAGATCGCACTGAGATATTTGGACAGCAGTATAAATACAGTCCTATTTAGTGCATCTATTCTTCCCATTGATTATTTTAAAGCTGTATAATATGAATCCTAGTGGAGAGAGACAGAAATTGTCTCCATTTCG